GGGAGCGGGGGGAGAGAGAGAAGGGGGGCGGCCAGGGCTTCAGCAGGGCACTGCCATGCAGCCCCTCCCACCGTGCCCCCTGCTGGGAGGGCTCCGCACAACTCCGGTCAGTGGGGAGGGAAGGACGAGGACTGCCCTGCTGGGCTAGCTGCAGGGCGCTCCCGTCCTCCACGCCGCTGCCCCCTACAGGACGGCCAGAGTGGAACAAAAAAAAAAGTGGCTGTGCCGCCCTAGGATTGGGCAGAATGCCGCCTCCTACAAGCTGCCGCCCCAAGCACCAGCTTGCTCGGCTGGTGCCTGGAGCCGGCCCTGCGTCCATGTTAAACTCCATTGTGGTTAAATTCAACCTCTTAGCCTCTTTCAAAGAATGGTTCTTGTGCACTGAACCCTCTGTCACATTCTGGGGTGCAGTCCAGACCAATGAGGGGTGTGTCACCAACCACCCTATAACCTTGGGCGCTTTGCAATGCTCTGCTGTTGAATACAGGGGTCCTTTTGGTCACACCATCTTCATGCAATAAATCTTTCCTTTGAAAGGGAGACAAAGTTAACACAGTTAATAATACATTTGTTTGTTTAGTTATATTTCTTTGATGCACCCTATTATCCTATCCACATTTTGGGGGACTAATGGCTTCAAAGGACTTTACGTTCAAGCTTTCTTTCACCATAAAATTCTTCCACTTGGACATAGAGTAATCTATAGAACGGACCCATCCTAATATAAATTGGACCTAAAAATACTTGTCAACTTTGTTGTCTCCCATTGTAGCCTATGACTTAGACTCAGCCTCTTCTTTACATGCCTAATGAAATGAAAGTGTTGAGGTGCTTCATATTTAAGGAACTAAAACTGCCATGGATGAGACAACAGGAGATGGATGAGTGAGAACAATTAACATAAGCTAATATCATATACAAATTTTTAAATCAAATATTAAATATGTGTGACCACACCAGGGGATTGCATTTTAACTAAATCAGTTTGTTTAATGGTACAAAAACAGTGTGTAGACCAGCCCTAAAGAGGAGTGTGTTCATCCATAGGCTCTGAAAGTGAGGCTCCATCTATCTCTTCTAAGAAAGTTTCTTTAAAGTGCAGGTTTACTCTGAAAACTAAGTACAAATGATTCAGATTTTTTTTCTTTTTGTGCATAGAGTCATATCTATTTGCTTTACTGAAATAAATAAGTGTTTTTCATGTTAGCTTTGCAGAACCAACACAGCTAAGATTAAGTTAATGGGATTCTATTCCATTTTGTGTTTCATCAAGAGAATTGTTTACTGAGTTCCAATTCACTGCACTTCTGTAAACCTATGTGATGGGAATGGGATTGCACAGGTGTTACTAAGGGAATGAGATGGAAAGAGGCCAGCTTGATTCTCAAAGGCCAAGATGAGTTATCAGAAGTAATTGTACATCAAGCACATATGATTCACAAATTAGCATGGTAGTGCCATTCTGACTTGTCAGTTTTCAGAGTACAACTACATTTGGTGATTCAGTTCCCCCACCTATAAAATGGGGAAAAGATTGTTTCCTTTTTGTGAAAGTTTGAGATACTCTGGTAAAAGGTACTGTTGTACATTTTTTGAGGTAGGGATTATGTCTTCCTCTGTCTCCTGTGGAGCACTCGGCACGTGTTCAGTAAATATAATTGCTTTTAACTTTACCAATTTTCACCTGCAGTACTAAGAAAATGGGGCAACTACATGTGAGCAGTTAGAGTCCATATTTTTTCCCCATGTAAATATCCATAAATCCTAGATTTTTAAAGGTGCTGCTTTGCTCAACATTGCAGTGCCTAAGTCATCAAAAGTTGCTTAGGCACTTAGGAACCTAATTCCCATTGACTTTCAAATTATTTTAATCTATATTGATGATAATCTAAAAGTATGCAAAATTCTTTTTAAAGTGCCCTTTAACAACACAGGGCCAAATTCTGAAGTCAGTGGAGGTACTCCAGATTTATACCAGAGGTAGATTTTGGCCTATAATTTACATCTTATTAGATCTCAGTGCACTTACTATGGGTTTCTGCTCGAAATGTTGACTCAAAACATGAAACAGGAAATGAAATGGGTCAGCTAGTACATATGAGTGCTGCTGGATTACTGGTAGCAATGAGGGGATTTTAGGATGAAACTGGTTTTATATCGGCAGTGAAGAATACAAGGATTCGCTTTGGTTGAATTTGCTTAAAAGAGGAAAAAATGTTATGCAACAGATGGTCACTAATCTTTAAAAATATTAATTTAAAAATGTACTTGTATATGTTGTAACCAATACAAATATGAAGAAAATAAATTTGTAAACTAAACCAGTGCAAACTTTTAAAATAACATGTAATTTTTTTAATATTTTTTATTTCAAGATACATTTTGGCAAGATACATGTTGTAATAAGGGTGAAAAAAATGTGTTTCTAAGTATTCAGACCCTAAAACTGAGGGCTTACAGTCAGCCTGAGTGCTGTTTCAGACAAGAAAAACAACATTCACACGTCAGGTTTTCCATTCTTGACGCACCAGGTGAATGGGTTGTTTTACTAAGCATTTACACTGTGGTGGGAGGGGAAACCCAAAGGAAGGGAGTGTAAAAGGGTGATGAGAGAGTGAGCCAGCACCCAATGTTGTTGGATAGCTGTCAGTACTTGGAGCTCCAGGGTCTACTGCGTTAATCTTTACAATGCCGCCAGCCATTAGCTAAGTGTGTTGCTGTGGCAGCAAATTCACATGCTGTCAGAGAGAGTGGAAGTAAGTTCTTAAAAGAAGTTTGCACAGGCAAGTTTAAATACCCTTTAAAGTAAATGTACTGTCAGTTCTTTTTTCCCCACCCCCATCATTTATATGTTTTCAAACATTTAGTTTTAGTTTTAATTGTAACCTTAAATTTGAATTTCTTGTTTTTAAGTTTCTTTTAGCAATATTCTTTTCCCTTTAAGTTACTGATAGATGTCTACAGGCTTTCTCCGGTTTAATCTAGTTTTTTGTTTGGGATTACCAATCTAACATTTACAATATCTTTGTGATGATGGAGTTCTGTTAACAGGAATACTACAGGAGAGTGCATCCACTCCTGAAGTCCTAAAATAACAGGCTCACTTGCTCATGCCGTCTACTTACCAGACAAGTGTTTTTATGTAACTGCACGGTATTTACTTTTGTTATTGCATATAAATAACCAGTTACTATAGCAACTCTCACCTCACATGGTATTTACCCCTGCACACTGTATTAACTACAAACAGAGAACACCCAAAGAAACAATCACAGCATTCTGTCAGGTAGATTTAATGACCCAGAAAAACGGATACATGAAAATCCTCTTAACAATAACCCAGCTCTCCCACCCACAAGATCTGGGCACAAAGGGGATCCTCCAACTGGAGATATCTTTCCTTCCAGAAGGACTGGAGCTCAGCTGTCTCCATAGCATTCTTCTCTCTCCTTTTGCCAAAACCCATGAAGCAATCCCTGCAGGGGATGGAGACTGGCTGGGATGGGGCAGACATGGGCAGCCCAAGAAATAGGGGGAGATGCACATCTTTCTCCTTGAAAAGATTGTACACGCCATATTTTACATTATTTAGCGCAGGTTCCATTGTGCTCTGTGTACGAGGTGCTTTACAACCCCAAAAGACATGGTTTCTACTTCAGCCTCATTTAAGACAGACGTAAATTGAGCATGGCAAACAATAATGAAGGGAGGATAGGGAGATAAGGGTATAAACAATATGTTCACACAGTTACATAGGCTAGCTATGTCCCCAGCTTGATGGTTCCAGATCCCTTAAATGTAGTGTGGGGAGAAAGATTTGTTTTGTTTGGGGTGTTGTTGTGGGAGGGGGTTGTTTTTGTTTGGGGAGGGATTGTTTTCTCTTCAAAGCCTTTGTGGATTTTGCCCTGGTTGGCTGATTTCATGTAGTTACAGCAGTTATAGAAGTTTGTCTAAAGGAGGAAGGAAGAAAGGACAGTGGCTTTGCTGACTAGTCCAAGGAGGGAGATCCATGCATATAGTGGGGTAGGCAAGAAAACATGGAGACAGGTTCAGTGTTGCTTTCACATAGATAATAGATTATTGATTATAAAAGTCTTGTGTGTAAGCTGCTTAGTAAAACTGGGGCCAGATAAAATTATTTTGTTCAGGATAAGATTGCTATGATTAACCATTGCAAGAAGGTGCCCTGCTTAAATTCTTAGTTTACTTTATACTGTTAATTATAAAAGTATCATCCTGCTTCTACTGTGTGTTGACAACTTCAAACATCTGTAAAGAAACAAGAAAAATGGGTGTTTATTTATCCACAGGACATGTCCTTATAGATATTTCAAGCACAAACAAGATACTTAATGACAGCCTCGAGGAAAGTGTAAGTATTTTTTACTCTATCTAACCTTTTTGAAATAAAAAAAAACAGTTTTACTTTAATTTTAAATAACCCTATTATCACTTGCTTACTTTTAAAGTTCAAAAAATTTCATAAAGAGATTATATCTGAACTGGAGAAGAAAACGGAACTGGATGTAAAATATATGAATGTAAGTACACTGAATTAAATATCAGAAAAGAAAGATCATATATTTATTTGCATTGTGCGTAGACATAGCAATTGTTTGTGCCTTTTTAAAATGATAATTTACAAAAGGAGCATACATAGAATTTGATCTTTAACTACTGAGGGATGTTTTCAACTTCTTTGGTTTATTTTAGAAGTTATTCTGTAATGTACAACTATATATTAGAGAATATTATCTAAATCCGAAATTTAAAAAAAAATCTGTAATATTTTTCATTTATTTTAATTGTAAATGAAAAACCTGAGAGTGAATTAACAATGGAATTTTGTTTTGAACTAGATTCTCCAACATGAAGAAAAATAATTGACACATTTGTAGCTTTAATGTTAATCCATCATATCAATACAGTGGATTTCTTAGCTGCCTGCATTAGTGCTCTGATAGTTGTATTGTTGCATGCACTGCAAGATACTTCAATGCTTTGATTGCAGGCAACTTTAAAGCGATACCAAACAGAACACAGAAGCAAGTTAGATTCATTGGAAAAATCTCAGGCTGAGCTGAAAAAAATCAAAAGGAAAAGTCAAGGTGGAAGAAACGCAATGAAATATGAGAATAAAGAATTTGAGGTTAGTGTACTCGCTCCTCTTACTTATTGGCTTTTCTCTTCTATCCAGTTTAGGGAAACTGGTCAATAATAGAAAACTTACAGCTGTTAGTTCAAGTTCTCCTGAATCCACTTCAGAGCAAACTGACCTTGATTTCTATGCCTGTAATATATTTAATTATCATATAGAATAATTCCTATATTAGTTATTTGGCAACAGTTAGACAGAAGAACTTCAAAGCAGTTATTGTTGCGTTTGATTTTTCCCAAGTTATTTTGGGTTAAGAAGATTACTAGCATATGTAATAAAAAAAACTGACATTAAGGTTTAGGGTCCAATCCTATACTCCTTACATGGAGTCCCATTGATTGCATTACTCTTTGTAGGATCAAGCCCTGGATTTTGTTTTTAATGTAGCTTCTATTTGTGTACTAGCAATTAATTATGGGTTGTAGTAATGGCATTTGGATTTCTGACTACTGGATTTATAATCAACATCAAATAGTAGGACATCTGAATACTATTACTTGTGGCCACAATTAATTGCGACTTATTATGTATTCCAGTACATACAAGCTTGAATTCTTAACTGTGCCCAAGCAAGTTCAGACACAATGAGGGGCCGGGGAGGGTGGGCGGAGGGTTGACAGAGGGCCAGTCACAGTTCCCTGATTCTGTTCCAGAAGCTGTGAATGGGTGACAGGATGGATCACTTGGTGATCACCTGTTCTGTTCATTCCCTCTGGGGCATCTGGCATTGGCCACTGTTGGAAGACAGGATACTGGACTAGATCAACTTTTGATCTGACCCAATATGGCCGTTCTTATGTTCTGCCTGGTCTTGGTATAACATAAAGCTGCAGGGGGACAGCTTTTAAGTGATGCTGTTGGCAGAAGACCATCTACCAGTAGAGAATCAGGACTAGTGAAGCCTCACTTCATCACACACCCCTCCCCTTCCTTCCACTGACAAACTCCCTCTCTGCCATTCTATCTCCAACCCCCACCCCCTTTACACAAGTTCCTAGTGGCACAGGTGGTATCAGCAAGTGGCAGAGTAGGTGCAGGAGGTTCCAGTATGCTATTGGGGGACATTGTGTTGCCATCTTCAAGGGGAGACGTAAAACTTAGGACTGACTATTTGTGTTAATTAAAGATCACCAGGTAATCTTTGTAAAAGATTGGTCTTAACTCCTCTGTGTACATATAACAGTTGCCTTTAGTAACAATAGTGGGTGAAGTTAGACCTGTGGGTAGTTGGTCTATCAGTTGAAGTTTTTGAAGTGCTTTGGAAACCTTCATTCTGAAAGGTGTTACGCTAAACATAATATATTATCACTTAGTATTACCTGTCCTAGTGATCCTATAAAAAGCCTTGCCATTTTGATGCAAAATAAAAAATAGTAACATTGTGAAAGTAAACAGGTAGATTGTGCTGTTGCTTCAAATAATGGTACAAATTTTAATGTAAATGTTTTGTATGTATCAGATATACACAAATACTTGTTTATTTGCAGTTTTCTTTGCACTTCCTTCCTTCAGTCTTCATTTCATGTTACTTATTCTTTTAATTTTTTTCTTTATCTTCTATTTTCAATGTATTTTCTTTATAAAATAGTTGACATTTTAGCCAAGAATATTGAACATAATGTTTAGCTGCTGTTTCTAGTTATTTGTATAATAACTTAAGTTCAGTAGAGGAAGGATTGTCTTGTGGTTAAGGTACTAGACTGGGATTCAGAAGATCAAAATTTAATTCCCTCCTCTCCCATAGACTTCCTTGATGACCTTGGTCAGGTCTCAATCTCTCGGTGACTCAGTTCCCCAGCCATAAATTGAGGTAGTGATAGTTCCATACTTAACGGTGGTTTTGTGAGGATAAGTTTCTTAATATTTGTGAAACACTGATGGACTATAGTGTTGGGAGCCCAGAGACAGGACCTATGGGATAAAAAAAAGACAGATAGTAGATAATAACATCTGAAGTTTAAAGAAAATACACAAGTTGATTTGTTCTGCTCACTTTCTGCTAGTCTGAAATAATCTTATGATTTATTTCAGTTCTGTGTGGAGGCTAGAAGTTCTTTCCCTTTGCTGCTGCACTGTATGGATTTTGTTTTTGTCTTCTAATATGTGGATGATTACTGGCAAACAGTCAGTTTTGTCTACTTTGGTGGGCATAGTAAGGATAAATAATTATCTGAAATGTAAAAGAGAGGTTTAAAGCAAAAGCTTCATGTTCCTTTACATAAAAGAATTTAGATTAATAGATTTCTTAAAATAATTCCAGAAAGGAACAAGATATGCTTAGATAAGTAGGGTTGTGTAAGAAAAGTCAAGCTCATGAGTAGCCTGTGCATAATTCATTATTAATTTATTAATTATTATTATTTAGTATTTGGAAACTGTGAGTTCTCGACAAAGTGATATTCAAAGATTTATTGCTGAAGGTTGCAGAGAAGCTCTACTTGAAGAAAAAAGAAGATTCTGTTTTCTGGTTGACAAGCACTGCAGTTTAACTCAGCACATGCACTTCTATCATAAACAGGTCAGTGTGGCTGGAAATCTAGGTGGCATGAATGCAAACACTCATAGGGCTTAATCAGGTGAGATAAAACTGATAGGCCTAATGAGGTGAGGCAAAACTCATCTCCTTAGTGTATGTTGAGGTCCATAAATGATAAAGATAATATAAAATGCATTATGTAGCTCATGAAAATTTTATTTATTTAATAGAAAAATGTTTTCAATGCAGTATTTTCAGTTAGTAATCCATTACTTCTTGTAGTAATAAATTATGACAGGAAACCAAATATTATTCAAATATCTATGGATTGACAAAATAAATATTCTAATATCTCAGTCTTACAGTAGGGCAGTTATTTCTGTCACATAGCATTACTTTAAATTTGTATGTAAAGACTCCCTAGCAAGAGTATTTATATTAGGCTAAATTCTGTTGTCCCTGACATATGTACAACCCTATACACATCACTGAGTTTGGACTGATGTAATTAAAGGCAGAATATTCCCCTTTACAATCCAAATGTTGGTTTAACCAAAAAAAAAAAAGATACATATTATGTAACTTTTTTATTGGTTACAGTGTGCAGATTTACTTAACTCCAAGTTGCCTGGATGGCAGGAAATGTGTAGTGATGCCACAAAAGTGCCAGAAAAAGTTATGAATATGATAGAAGATATGAAGACGCCTGGTTCCACTCCAATCTCAGGAACTCCACAACCTTCACCAGTGACAGAGAGAAATAGTATGGTATGTATTGGTTACAAGTTCTCAAGGTTGGATTGACTTCCCTGATCTCTTCATGTACAAAACATTTGGGCTCAAAAGCCATAATAAATAACCTGAATTATGATTCTGGAATGAGTTACAAACTGGAGCCTCAGTCCAGTAAATAGATGCATCAGGTAGATTCTTGTATCTACACAAAGCCCCATTGACTCCTGTGAATTCTGGGTTGCCAGGAAAAAGAAGCCATAGGCTCTCATGTTCAGACCCCCATTTGTAGGGGAAATCATTTTTGGAAACATTTGAGTTTCTGAATGAAACTCAAGTAAATTGGTAGCATACAATGGTCCTAATATACTGAAATATACTCGAAACAGAGGGCACCGAAGTGTACTATAATTTACTTCAAGAGAGTATTTTTTCTGAATTAAAAAGAAACCTAACTTACTATTTTCAAATGATTGAAAAGATAATAGTGATTATATATCTGATGAACTATATAACAACCAGAATGTAACTGAATGGAATAGTTATGTTAGAAACTAGGCCCCACTCCTGCAACTGGTTCTGTGGGGAAGGTCCTTGCACCCTGTGGGTCCAGTGGCAGAGGACTCCTCCAAGTTTATTTTTTTTTCATCAAAGAAGTTGGGCAGCTAGGGACCTTCCACAATTTTAATCTTGTCTAATTTAAGAATATTTGGTTATTACCTTTTAGAATTCAGTGCTGCAAGTAATCTAAGAGGTCCCTGTCATTTTGTTACTATGATAACATTATCTTAATAAAACTTTGTGTCTTTAGGTTGGAAGAGTGCCCCCTGCTCCTACAGTTAGAGCATTTACTAGTCCTTTAGTTGACATGTTTAACAATCCACCAGCAGTTCCAAAGGTGCCTTCGGAAAGATTAAATAATTCAGCAGGTGAGTTTTTACTTGTTGAAATGTTATTTTAATGTAGAAAATGGGCTTGACTTTCATCTTGCTACTGATATACAATAAATACAAATGACATACTGTGCTATGTATCAAAAATTAGTGTAGCTGTCTTGGCTATCAAAGTAGTCACTATATGATATATCTTTGGAGTTCCAGCAGGAAAATCCTAGGGGAAGGAAAAATGGTCTTTCCAAAATGTTAGTGATATTCTTAGTAAAAAGATATTGCAGTAGGTAGCTGTCTAATAAGAAAAATTAAAATACTGAAGGAGGAAGAATGTTTTGTGGTAAAAGCCCAAGTCAAGAGATCTAGATTCTGTTGTAATCTCTAGAGCCATGCGCAGATACAAAATTTGTATCCACATCCGATCCATGATCCACAAACATGGTCTGGATGCAGATATCTGTGGCTATAAATAGGGTTACCATTCGTCTGGATTCCCCCGGACATGTCCGGCTTTTTTGAGTTAAAAATAGCGTCCGGGGGGAATTTGTAAATGTCCGGATTTCCCCCCCATGCAGAGCGCGCACGGCTTACAGGGCAGCCGGCCGGATCGTGCCACTCGCACGGGCTCCGGCAGCCAGAGCCCTTCCTTCACTTCCCCCTCCTCTCCTCTGCAACTTGAGACCACTCCCCTCCTCTCTCTCCCTCCCTCCCCCCACTCCCTGCATTCGCAGATCGCCGGCCAGCCGTTCACCTCGGGCCTCCAGCAGTCTGGAGCTCCGACCCTGCTCACCTCCTCCGCTGCTGAGCACGCTGCTCTGCAGCACAGTAAGGGGGCCAGGGGGTCAGAGAAGCGGCAGGGAGGTTCTGGAGGGGGTAGTCAAGAGACAGGGAGCAGGGGGAGGGTGGGATGGGTCGGGGGTTCGGGGGGGGGGCTGTCTGGGGGTTGGGGGTGTAAGGTTTTGGGCAGTCAGAGTACAGGTG